AGGAGACAATAAAAAAAAAAAAAAATAATTCAGGGGTCTATCCTTATGGTCTATGGGTGAACCATAGTAATTTAAGGTATAGGTACATAATTATCATAAATTTACATGTTATTATGCAGCGACAATCATTTAAAGTTTTAAGTCCTTATAATTAAAAGTTACTCAATACAAAGTTAAAGTCAAAATTGATATTTAAAATTCACAATTTGGATATCCAAAAATTTAAAAACTTAACAATTCAAAATTCAATCTTATTATTCTTATTTCCTAAAAATTTAAAAATTAGAAACTTGATTAGGGTAATTCCGGGATAGATGGCCATACGGTAAAGATGGCCATATGCCGTGTATACTAACGACGGGCTGGTAGCCACTGCCAAATCTAGTCAGATGTTAGACATTAGTAAGTGGTTATGTTTGTTCTTCATTAGGTTGAAAAAATCCTCACAAATGTAAGTATATTTTCAATTTCAATTTGCTAGATATCAAAATATTTTTTTGCAAATATAAATGGCCCATTTTAGTTAAGTTTGCGATATATTTTTCGCTGTGTTTTTGCTATAATCAGTTAATACGATAGTGTGAGCGGTAACATAACCTCAAAATAAATACCCGCCAATGACACAACGCCCCCAAATTGTGTGGGCCATCTCTCCCGTATAATCGGGAGAGATTGCCAACAATTTTTCGGGAAAGATGGCCAACAAATTTTTGAGTGAGATGGCCTTATCAATGCTGAATGTTAAGGCTTCTTAGTGCAAATCTTTAGTTTTGGTTTTTCTTTTTCAGATGCCGAACAAGTACACACGCAAAGCGGTAAATGTTCGTGGTAATTGGACGCAGGAAGCTCTAACAAATGCAATTAGAAGTGTAGCAGATGGAAATTTGTCTGTTCGTCGGGCTTCTATTGAATACCAAGTGCCACGCAAAACCTTAGAACGGCGAATTAAAACTGGAAATTCTTTAAAAGGCAGTATGGGTCCTAGCAGTTCCTTTGGCAGTGCTCATGAAAACCGACTATCTCGACATATTTTGGCAATGCAGAAACGAGGTTTCCCATTGACTAGAGACGACTTACGAAAAATGGCTTATCAGTTTGCTGAGCAGTTAAATTTAAAGCACAGATTTAATAAACAAAAAGAAAAGGCTGGCTATGATTGGTTGACTTTATTTCTGAGCCGCCATCCTGAAATAAGTGTACGTAAAGCCGAAGGGGTGTCTTTGGCTCGAACAAATGCCATGGACCGAAATGAAATTGCTCAATATTTTACTTTGCTTGAGGCTACGATGGAAGGAGAAAATTTATTTGACAAACCTGCCAATATTTTCAACATTGACGAGACGGGTCTGCAGCTAAACAACAGGCCCGTTGAAGTACTGGCACAAAAAGGATCAAAAGCTGTCTCAACGGTAACTTCCACTGAGAGGGGGGAAACAATCACTCTCGTTGCATGCTGCAATGCTGAGGGTAACTTTCTGCCACCAGCTGTTATCATGAAGGGTAAAAACAAGAAGCAGGAGTGGGAGGATGGACTGCCTCCTGGATCGATTTTGTTCATGTCAGAGAAGTCTGCCTACATTAACTCCAAAATATTTCTACAGTGGCTGCGTGTTCATTTTATTCCACGAAAACCACAAGGAAAAGTTTTATTGATTCTGGATGGGCATGCTTCTCACGTAAATTCCGTTGAAATGCTAGAGTTTGCTGAGTCAAATGGGATAATCCTTCTATGTTTACCAAGCCATACCACCCATTTTCTTCAACCACTAGACCGAAGTTTTTTTAAATCTTTAAAAGGCCATTTTTATGAATCTTGCCGTTTGTGGCTTAGAAATCATGCAGGAAGACGCATTACTCGCTATCAGTTCGGGGAATTGCTCAGTGATAGTTGGGGTAAGGCCGCCACAACGCAAAATGGTTCTTCAGGATTTAGATCAACGGGAATCCTACCCTTCAATCGTGACGTAATACCCGAATATGCATTTCATTCCGAGGAGACTGATGTGATTCCAAATCCAACGACAATTATTGGAATTCAAACGACATCTATTACTGCAGCTCAACCAAAAGTTGACCCTTCAAATTCTCAAGCCTGTTGCTCAGCGGCAACAGCTTCCCCAGATAAAATAACTCCATCCAAGATTCTTCAAGATTTGTCTCCATCGGTTCCAGAAAAATTGGCCACAGTTAAGAAAAGAGCCAAACAACTTGCCGCAATTTTAACTGCACCAGAAAACTTGCAGCTGCGCAAGGAAAAAGAGAAGAAAATGCAGGAAAAAACTGAAAGGGTTCTTAAAAGAAAATTACTTGGAATAGGAGAAAAAATCCCTAAGAAAAAAAAATGTGACAGTCCAAGCAGCGAGGAGGAGGAAATAGAAATGATATTGGAGAGTGACGACGGAGAAAGTGACGATTTTGATGAAAATTTATGCGTGGGGTGCGGCGAAAATTACAATGATACAAAAAAAACTGTTGACTGGATTAAGTGCGTGGTTTGCCTTAAGTGGCTGCATGAAGATTGCACAACTTATGGCAACTTTTGTCAGACATGCGGAAAACTTGACAGTAAAACAAAAAAAGGCAAAAAGTTTTAATAATTTTTTATGGCCATCTTTCCCAGACTTATATGGCTATCTTACCCGTAGCATCTGGGAGAGACGGCCACATAGCCGTTTTGTTTGAGAAAAATAATTTACGTTTATCTCTTATTATTTTTCAGTTCTTGATAAAATAATGTTTATTTCAATGAATTTCCTTTGTCTTGAGTAACAAATAAAAAACCAAATACCTTTGCGTAATTTTTTTTCACAATTCCAAAAAAACTATGGCCATCTACCCCCGACGTACCCTATACAGATGTTATCGTAGCTTTGTTCGGGTTTGAATAAAGGACGGTTCTAGAAAGGTTTAAAACAATCGAACTGTTTAATATTGAAATTTGTGATAGCCAGGCCGTTGTCATTTTTTTGATTGATAAACTTTGCGCTCATTTTGAACCGTCCTTTTTTCAAACCCAAACAGGCCCATATTATCCATTTACAATCCGATGTCCACAGGTACAGGTAAAATTTATCACCTTTCAATGCTATTTGATAGGGAAAGGTGATAAATTTACCTGTACCTGTGAATATCGGATTGTGAATAAGATATAGAATTATAAACCTTTCAAATACCTATTCATTTATTTTGTAAATTATTATATTTTCTACTTGATTTTGAAACCAGTTTGGCTGACGCTTTTAACTTTAAGACCTCCCATTTAGAAAATTTGAATAAATTTGTCAAGATTAAAGATTCTAACAAATATTTTTTATGCTGATAACATCCATGATTAGAGTTTCCGAGCCATACCAAATTTTTATTGAAAACTTTGTTTTTAATTTTAGTGAAGATTAATTCCGTATGTTTATACGAGGAAAAATATTTTACGAAAACACTCATGGATTTTTCCACTACATTCGAGACAATTTCATGTGGAGCTACCAAATGTTTTTTTTCTTTTGAACCATAATTTTTTTCTAAAATAAACAACTCTCGTGGGTTATTCAATACGTCTGTATCAGATGTTAGACTGTTTTCGCAATCCTTACAGCGAAATTGGGTAAGCGTTTTTTTTTTATCAAATAACCCGCATAATAACTATTAGCACAATTTTCCAAGGATCCTTCATCAGAGTTGATCGCAAGAGGCGCTTTATTTTCAGTATCAGAATCAGAGAATTCGGATTGAAAATTTGAAATATGTTTATTTGGAAAATCTGTACTATTTAAATTTGATTTATCGATGGCATCCAAGGAAACATCGCCATTAATTTTTTTTCGCTGCCTTAAAATCGAACATTATTTTTTCATCATTATCGTTTTCACAATTTGAAAATCAAACCAGAAACCCTATGGATGTACAGGGTGTTTGTTTATAACTGGAACACTCAGTAATTTCTTTAGTATTAAAAATAAAGGGCATGTTTAAATTGGAAAGTTTCTTGGTAAATTGAAACGATTTTAATCGCCACAACGATATTTTTTTGTTGCCATAGGTATACAGGATGCACCAAAAAAGTCATTTTTTTTAATTGAACGCCCTGTATATTTTTGCATTTTTAAATTTATTCAAAAATCAGCTTCACAAAAATATCAAACACTATTGGGTATCTTTTGTAGTTCCCGAGATATTTGCGATTAAAGTTTTAAAAATTGTCAAAATAGAATGTATTGGAAACAACCAACTGATCAAGCTACAAAGTGGATCATTTCTTTACTTCCAACAATATAAACTCAAAAATCTAATGGCCTTGAAAAAACAAACAATTGAAAGGAAGACGATAACACTTGTCAAAATCACATAGTGGTCAATAGATCAATGTTTATCTATTAAAAAACCCGCTTGATTGATTTTTTTTTATTTAACTCACTTCAAACCAATATTTTATCTCACATAAAACGATCTAAAACTAATAACAATAAACAAATTTTCTAAACCTACAAAATTTTAATTTAATTTAATGTCGCAAAAGGTGTTCAAATCTATCACCATTTACTTCAATACATTTCTCAAATCTTCTTCTCAGTCCGTCAAGCGTGTTCGTAAGAAATTCTGCAAAATTCTGATTCAACTCATTGATTGCTGCCACAATTAATTCTCTCATCTGTTGAACGTTTCTGATATCAAACTGATACACCTTATCCTTCACGTGATTCCATAAAAAAATATCAAGTGGTGTGAGATCAAAACTACTTGGGGGCCAACGAATTGTCCCATTTTTACCGATCCATTCATTGAAATTTTAATTTAAAAAATTTTGAGCCCCACGAACATTATGGGGTGAGGCACCATCTTGCTGATATATAACCATTCTTAGCTGCTCTAGTGGCAGAGTTTCCAAAAAATCTGACAAGAAATTTTCTAAAAATTCCAAATAAATTTCTCCTGTTAACGAGCGCTCAAAGAAAACTGGTCCAATTACCCGATTATCCAAAATACCACACCAAACATTAACTGACTGCCTTCCTTGAGTTTTGATTACTTTTGTAAAATTTGGATTGTTTGTTGCCCACATCCTATTATTTTGTTTATTAACTTCCCCACAAGTAGGAAAACTGGATTCATCCGACCATAGTATGCAATTAGCGATATTGGGATCTTCGTCCATTCTTTGAAGCATATGTTGGCTAAACTCTACTCTTTTTCTTTTTTGTTCTAGAGATAATTGTTGAACATGTTGTCTTTTATAAGCCCAGAAAGAATTCTTCTTGAGAACACTTCGTACCTTCCAGTGAGATCTGCAACGCGCCTGCCCTTCTTGCTGTAATGTTCGCGAGATTTTCCGAAGCGATAACTGCGGATTTTCCTCCACATGCAGCAAAATATTTAAATTTATTTCTTCATTCTCGGGGACAACTCGCTTCTTTCTTTTGACGGAAGAAGTTTCTCGAAATTTTCTATATAATCGAATAACTGTAGATTTACTTGGACATGGTCTCCCAAGATATCGCTCTCTATACTCCCTTATGGTCGCAGGCGCACTCTTATTATTTTTCGAGAACAACAAAAGAATTTCTTGATTTTCTTCACTTGAATAGAGATGCATTTATTAAATTGAAGAACTTCTTAGTGGATTAGGTGTTTTTGACAAATAGTTTTGACAAATGGTGTAGCCTTCAATCGTTATTTTCCATATGGCCACTAGATTTTTGAGTTCATATTGTTGGAAATAAAAAAATACATAGATGGTCCGCTTAGTAGCTTGATCAGTTTGTTTCCAATACATTTTATTTTGACAATTTTTAAAACTTTAAACGCTAATATCTCGGGAACTACAAAAGATATCCAAATAGTATTTAATATTTTTGTGAAGCTAATTTTTGAATAAATTTAAAAATGCAAAAATATACAGGGCGTTCCATAAAAAAAATTGACTTTTTTGGTGCACCCTGTATACCTGTGGCGACAAAAAAATGTCATTGTAGCGATTAAGATCGTTGCAATTTACCAGGAAATTTTCCAATTTGAACATGGCCTCTATTTTCAATGCTTAAAAAGTTACTGAGTGTTCCAGTTATAAACAAACACCCTGTACAAGGTCTATGAAACTACCTACCAAACAAAATATGAACGTTCCTCATATGCCTGACAAGAAGTATTTTTAAATTAATAATGAGAAATTAAAAAAAAATCCGAAACTACTAAAATTACCGGGAGACGTCGCATCTAAAAATTAATAAAAAACTATCCGAAAACATGCGGCGAAGTTAATTTTATTGCATAGTTTATCGATGGTTGAAATTATAAACTAGCTGACGTTTTTTTTTTTTTTCTAATATGAGCTTTTATTGTAGGAATAATTTGAGTTTACATAAAAATAATCATTGGAATATTCCATAATTTTTGGTATAAGACTTTGGTATAATGCTATCAAATAATATGTACTTGAAGGTGTTTTGATGAATCCTCGAATTGAAGTCAATGTTGTACAAATTGTTTAATTATCGCAGTATAGAATTGGTTTTCGTTTTGAAAAATGTTCTTACCACAATTAATAATCCAGTTATTGCAGATTTCCTCTTCATCTGTTGGTATTCTGAACATTCTTACTCCATTGTTTCTTGCACTTTTGCCACAATTAAAATATGAACATTTGTTCCCGGACATTTTAAAATATGTAACTATTCTGCGTAAGTAAAAAAAATTAAAAAAGTTTCCACAAAAACGACGCGTTTCGACACTGTAGGCATAATTCCGGAATATGATTATGTAGTTTTTGGTGGAGATTTTAATGTTGATTTGTCTCCAGGTAATCGCAATAATATCACTGTCCTTTTCTTAAATTTTCTATCCAAATATGGCTTAACGCAATTTGTCACTGAACCAACTAGAGTTAGTCCTTATTCTAGCACTTTAATTGACTTAATTGTTTGTACTTCTTCTGGCTTTATAAGGGAACCTGGGGTTATCAAGATGGGCGACATTTCTGATCATCACATATAGAGATTTCTCAAACTTAAATTATGCTAGTTTTTTACTTGATCTAAATAACATTGATTGGGGTCATCTTTATTTACTAACTGATGTCGACAAACAGGTTGAATTTTTGAACGAAGTTATTTTAAATATATTCAATCTCCATGCACCTATGAAAACATCTAGAATTACTAAAGCTCCAGCGCCTTGGCTCACAGACAATTTGAAACTTATGATCAAACTTAAACGCAAAGCTTTAACTAAATATAAAAAACATAAAACCGATCAAATATGGGAAGAATATAAAAATCTCAGAAATTTTCTAAACACTGCTGTTAAGTCAGAAAAGAGGGCGTATCTTCAACATTCATTTCGAACTGATCCAAAAATTTTTTGGCGTGTTATAAAATATCTAAACGTTTATTCTGGATCGTCTCGGGGTGCATCTCTCCCAGAAGCACCCATTCCAGACGATTTCAACAATTACTATTTAAGTAACATTGCTCAAGATGACTTGGCGAAGGAGGACTTTATCAATGATAACTATAGCAACAAAAAATTCAATCCTCCTTGAATTAACAGTTTTTCGTTCTCTTTGGTTGATCCACAGGAGGTTGAAAAAATATTAAATCAGATTAAATATCAAGCTACCGGACCTGATGGGATTAATACTAAGATGATCATGTATTGTATGCCACTACTTTTACCACACCTAACTTACATAATTAATAAATGCTTATCTTCTAACAAGTTTCCCAAGCAATGGAAGAACGCTAACGTCATTTCTATACCAAAGATCTCTCAACCCACATGTTCAGATCACAGTTTTATATTAGAATTTTTAAATGGAACTGCAACGCAGTATTTGGACCGGCCTGCGCGCCTTTATAGTGTCCTGCAATGTATGTTTTGTGGAGGAAAAAACCAGTAGTTTGCTGGTATAATTGCCAAAGTGGCATTACCAGTTTTGTCAACTTTTTGATAGATTGTCATTAAATTAATTTTAGAAACGACAGGGTTTCTTCCTAACTTCCTCGTCCCTCAATCATCCCATCGCAGCACGAAGTTCATGTTCGTCCAGAACCATTAAGGAACTGACGGCAAAGGAACACAACATTGGTCCTTCGAGCCGGATATTTAGCCAGAAAACAGAGGAAGTTTTGCATCGATCATGTCAATTGTTATATTCTCGGACTCGGAGCCCCGTTGCAAATAAATTAAATTGCGCATCCACGTAAGCAGACCGACGGCACAAATAGTACGTTACCTACGTATACCTAAATACTCCCACCAAGAAGCGCTCGACAGCAATCTTTGGTACGAGGTCAGGTATAAATCTCTCCTTACCTGTTTATATTTTCTGAGTTGCATGACAATTGTTTCCGTATCGATTTCCACCCTTGTTTTGATATGTATTTTATATTTTTTATTATTTTCGTAGTACCTAATATTTTTTAAACGAATAACAAGTGATTATTTCGTAAATTACTCGACAAAAAAATATAGTCTTCATATATAGACAATTATTCTCGATAAGTTACTTTAATATAAAACATTTTATTTGGGTTGTTATATCTTCTCGAAGCAACCAAATAATTTGTTTCCTCGTACATAATTAATTTACCTTTACCGGAAAATAGATTTCAGATTTCAAAATGACTGAGGAAAGAAGGTTGATAGCTCGTCGCGGCCAAATTAAGGCAGAACTTACACGGTTTCAAACTTATTTAGATAAATATTGTGCCGAAAAATACACGTTTACAGAAATTGAAAATCGATACGAAAGCACGAAAAATATTTTAACTGAATTTAAAATTATACAGGGTGAACTCGAAGATGCCTTACTCGCAGTAGGTACCTTAAATGAAGATCAAGCAAGCACGGAGCGCGAAGAATTCCAAAAAAAATAATTTAAAGCTGTTTCCACCGCTAAAGATTTAATTTCCCATCTTTCACCATCCCCTATGTCTCAGGTTGTTACCCCCGTCACCACAGTACCACAACAGCTGCAATCAAATACAAAGTTGCAAGCCATAAAGATTCCCGAATTTTCAGGTCAATATTCTGAATGGCAGAGGTTTAGGGACACTTTTACAGCCTTAGTACATAATAACACTATATTACAAAACATTGAAAAATTCTATCACCTTCAATCCTGCTTGAAAGGTGAGGCCTCGCAGGTTATCGCATCGCTCCCTCTCTCGGACGCTAATTACGTCACCGCTTTTAATTTATTAACTGAAAGATTTGATAACCGAAAAGCTATAATTAATGCACATCTCAAAGAAATATTCGATTTACCGACTATACATAAAGAATCGCACGTTAATTTACGAAATTTTCTCGATACATTTCTAAAAAATCTACGTGCTTTAGAAGGATTAGGCGAACCGATCGATGGTAGTAGTAGTTTTTTAATATATCTTTTGAACTCGAAGCTGGATTTTCCTACAAAACGTGAGTGGGAAAATTTCAGCATAAATATCACAAAACCTAAAATCGACGATTTTTTTAGATTTTTGACGCAGAGGTGTCAAGTTTTAGAGGCTTTGGATACAAAAACAATCGTAAACCCCGTCGGGAAACCCCAAAAGCAAAGTTTTCAATCTTTTGAACCATCAGGTCCAATTTGCCCTTCTTGTAGTAATAAACATTTCATTTATTTATGCCCAAAATTCAAATCGTTTCCAGTAGCGTCACGTTTTGATGAGGCAAAACGATTATCTCTTTGTACAAATTGTCTACGAAAGGGACATAGAAATTCGGATTGTCGATCATCAGGTTGCAGAATTTGCAACGGACGACATGCCACTCTTTTACATCAACCAGGGGCATCTACTTCAAAAAATGTGGCAACATCAAATAATAATAATAGGTTTCAGTCAAAACAGGTTCCTCAAACAAATGTTAATATCTCGCAAGTACCTCTTTCAACAGTTTCAACGAATAATTTAAATAATAATGCTACTCTCGATAATACCCTAAACGAAATTCAAAATTGCACACTTTTGTCACATTATTCTCAGAAAACTTCAGAACCCCTTGTCTTATTATCGACTGCGCTCGTTCACGTTTTTGACATGAATAGAACTCCATTCTCGTGCCGTGTTCTACTCGACAGCGGTTCACAATCAAATTTTATTACCCGGGATATGGTAAAACGATTAAATTTAAATACGCGAAAGGTAAATATGCCAGTTTCTG